TCTAAATAAACTTTATGACTCGTTAGGCAATACTTTCACTTATTTGTTTTACAGCAAACGACAAGTTTGAGTTTTTCCCTTGATACATCAGTAATAATTCACACCCTACAAGCAGCTCATTGCTTCCAAACCCCTGGATTACTCAACATCCCCTTTAGCAACAGAAAGCAACCACTGCCTGGAACATCCAACGCCCTTGGACGTTCGGTGTTCGGTTTGAATTTCACCTCAAACTCCTGATTAAACCTTCTGTCAGCCAGGAAGAACCACCTGAACACAACCTGTCCCCTGGGAGCTGGGGGTGCTCAGCATTGCTCAGAATCAGACCTTTTGGGTAGTTTATTAACAAGACATTCTCATGCTCCAAACAAATGTTACGGAGGAAAAGCCAAGTTAGCTGTTAGTGAATGAACATGTGCCAGAGACAAGATGCCAAGGAGCTTTCAAAAAGCAGTCCACATACCATCCCAGGTATCTCCACCACCTAGAGAGAAGTGTGAGAGATGAACACGGGTACAGGACAAAGGGCTGCAGATAAAACAGTCATTTACACAGCTAGGGGGGAAATCTGATATTAGCACATTTATCAGGGCTCAACTAAGGCCCGTGGAGGTCTAAAAATACTGCTGAGCCAACTAGAAATCAGAGTGACACTGCTGAGGGACTAAAGGAGGGAAGCATTAGTTTCTGCAGATGGCCAAAGGATTCTGTGGTGATTTTGCTTTAAATTGTACGGAACAAGGTGCAAAAACATCCACCCGAGCTGTGCCAGGACAGCTGATACAGCTGAAGGAACGGGAATCCCGGGAGCCCTATCGAGTTCACAGGTCATGCAGGGAGGGAAGAGCTCCCTGATTCCCTTGCAGGAACGTTCCTCACCTTCTGTCTCCATGTCCTGGCCCTTGGGGGCCTCCCCGATGTCGATAGTGAACATCACTATCTTGGGGGTCATGGTGGACATCCTGTTGCTGAAGCAGAACTTGTAGGTTCCATCCATGTGGGCAGCAAACGTGTATTTTCCACTGGACTCTCGATCCCCTTTGTAAATCCCTTTATTATCGGGCCCTGTGATCTGGAAAAGGGGGGAGAAACAAAGGATCACACACTTGGGTTCCAACACAGAGGGTTTTAAAATGCACCATCCCAGCAACCACAACCCAAGTCACCAACACCAGCTGGGATCTGCCTGGGCTGCCTCTGCTCAGCTCCCACAGCTCAGGGGGGCGGTTTTTCCGCACAGAAGCCTCTTGGAAAATCTCCCAAACTTCTTGGTAAAGAAAGGCACACAAAAGCCTCTCCCTCCCCGGCCTCCCCGGTGGAGATAAGGAGCACCCAAGAACAAGGAAAACACAGTCTGGGGCTGTAAGTCAAACAAGAGTAGAGGAAACCTTATCTCTGGTGCGCAAAGGGAACAAAGAGGGGAAAGAGCCATTTTCCAAGAGTCAATATGACTTCAGACACTCAGCTGGGCACTGCTGCAGTGACCACCTCACACGGACTGAGGGCCCGAGCTCGGAGCTCCCAGGGGTCACTGTAATCTGAATTTCCATCCCACCAGGCCAAGCTGCTGCTGAGCTTCCACTGCTGCCACGTGAACGGGATCTCACAATTTCCCAGCTCCTGGGCCACAGCCACGTGTAATTTAAACTCTTACAGGACTCTCGGCAACAACCCCCCCGCTTTTTATCCCCCTCGCGTTTAATTTGCTCCAACCAAACAACTCTGCTCTTCACCGCGACAACAGCAGCAACTCTCACTGGGGATCTCCCACTGATGTGACCCCTCCTCGGCGAGAAGGGCTCACCCACAACTTCCCGACGGCAGCCCCTGACCAGAGACAGCAAACCCCTCTGGGTTCCAGGGGAAGCGCTCCGGGAACAGGCGAAGAGCGGCCGCGCTCCTCTTCCCGCCCCATAATTTATTCCATGGAGGCAGAAAACCCCGAGGGAGGGGCGGACAGGGCAGGAGGTCAGGCCCAGGCTCGGGCAGCCACCGCAGGAGCGACCCCCAGCAGAGGCCCCCGGTCCCTCCCGCCGCCCGGAGACCCCGCGGGGACCGCCCCGAACCACCCCGAGCCCCGCGGAGGGTCCGGCCCCGCCGCGCCACCCAAGGTCGGCGACTCTGCCCGCGCCGCCGCCGCCGCCGCCGCCGCACCTCCACGTCGATGTCCAGGAAGCCGCCCTCGGCCACCTCGAAGATGAGCCCCATCTTGGTGCCGGACGGCACGCGCTCCAGGAAGCACTCCTCGGCGTGCGCGTCGATGCTCACGAAGTAGGGCTGTGCCGGGGCGGCGAGCGCGGCCAGCAGCGCCAGCACCGCCCGCAGCGCCGACATGGCGGAGCCCGGCACGGCGGCTCCCGGCGGCGCTTCCGGCCCGCGCCGCGCCCCTTCCGGCGCACGGGGCCGCCGCCCATTGGCCAACACCGCCCCCGCTGCCACGTACGGGCCCAGCGACGGCGGCCGCGGAGGGAAACGGAGAGGGCGGGGCCAGCGCGCCCAGAGGGAGGGGCCAATGGGAGGGGAGGAGGGGAGGAGCGGCGGCGCTGGGAGCCAATGGGAGCGGGGCGCGCGCTGAGGGGGCGGTGCCCGGCAACGGGGAGGGAGCAGAGCGGGAGGCGGGAAACGGGGATGAGGGGAGGAGGGGGAGCCTGAGGGGAGGAGGGGAGCCTGAGGGATGAGGGGGATCCTGAAGGAATGAGGGGGATCCTGAAGGGATGAGGAGGGTTCCTGAGGAAATCCTGAGGGGATGAGGGGGATCCTGAAAGGAGGAGGGGGAGCCTGAAGGGATGAGGGGGATCCTGAGAAATGAGGGGAATCCTGAGGGAATGATGGAGATCCTGAGGAATGAGGGGGATCCTGAGGGGATGAGGGGAATCCTGAGGAGATGAGGGGGATCCTGAGGGAATGATGGAGATCCTGAGGAGTGAGGGGGATCCTGAGGGATGAGGGGATCCTGAGGAATGAGGGGGATCCTGAGGGGATGAGGGGGAGCCTGAAGGGAGGAGGGGGATCCTGAGGGATGAGGGGGCTCCCAAGGGAACAAGGGGAGGCAGCAGGGAGGGAAGGCGGCTGTCACCACCGCTGTCACCACCTGCTGTCACCGCAGCCCTGCTGAGGCTGCTGCTCCTGAAGCCCGGGAAGCCCAAACCTGCTGCATTCAGGGAGAGGTTTTGGGAGCAGCCAAGGTTTAAGAAGCTGACAGGGATGCCTGACTGGTGGGCTGTTCATTCACAAGGAAACACAGTCAGGACACGTGCAGATTCTGCCTCACACTGGAATAACTGTGTAAAAGCCATTCCTTGCATGGCTTAAATACTAATTTCCATCTAAAAATTCCATCCAGAAATACAGAAATTCATGCAGTTAAGGCAGCCCATTCCATGCGTAGCTGTTTAATGGCCTGGAGAAGAGTTAAAACCAAAGCACAACCTGGCCTGTGTTGAGCTGGCCAACAAGCGCTGGTTTTTGTTCTCCTGGTGATACTCGGGAGTGTTTGTCTTGACAGATGGAACCCAAGTGCTGGATTTACATCCCTACTCTTTGCTCTCCCCTCAGCTGCCAGGTGTGAGCTGCTGTGTCCGTGCAGGCATGGGGTGTGGGCAAGATTTTGGCAAGAGAAGCTGAACCTGAGGAGCTGCAGGTCACGAACGTGGCCGGATAAGAAACTTTCTGTGCCGAGTCGTTTTCAGAGGTCCAAGCCAACATCCAACCTACTGCTTCCCGCAGCACAAAATGTGCTGGTTTTTCATCTAGCTCAGCAACAGTTTTAATCTTGCCACTCTCACATTCCCCACTTTGTTACGTTTCTCCTCTACGTGCTCTTGTACATAACAATGAACTCGTGTAATGCTGAATTGTCGTGGCATAAACTCTTTTTCTCCTCCCTGGCTTGGCCAAAATGCTGATTTCCCAGCACAGCTGCTCCCCTGGGGCACTGCAGAGCCTTCTCCAGACGTTCTGCTCAGGCTGCTCCCCCTCCTCACACTCCAGAAGCACCTCTGCCAGGAAAGGATGACTCCACCATTATTCATCCTCCTGCTCTCTCTGGAACTTTGTGCAATATCCTGTGCTGCTCAGCTTTGGGAATGAGTTTCACGAATGACATATAGGGAAATACTTTCCCTGGATATCACTGATTATTGCTGTAAGTTAGGCAGTTGAAAGCCAAGCTCAGGTATCTGGGGACTGATGGTGTTGCTCTCCTGGCTGCCCCGGTGCCTCCTGGCAGCACACAAGGATATTTTGTACATGCAACGTACGCAGTCACACCTGAAAGCAAAAACACTGAAAAACTCGACCAGAAAACCACATTTTGGTTCAATTTAAATTATCTGCCAGTGGATTCATGCCAGCAAACTGCTTGTATGTATAAAACCCTCCACTGATCCTCTGGACACCTGCACAGTAAAGACTCTCCTACTCTGCAGAGCGGGGAGTCTAAAACCCCTAACGATGAGCAGCTAAACCCTCCTGATGATGAGCAGCCAAACCCCTGTGACGATGAGCAGCTGCCATGTGCGAGCCCCTCGCTGCGCTGCAGAAAGGTTTGTGCACTGCATTCCACGTGCCCGCAGCCATCCATCGCCTCATTCCTCTTCTGGAGCAGCATTCCTCCTCCCCCTTCCATCCCGGGACACTCAGCTTCGGGCACTGCTCGCTGTTGGGCACCACGGACACCCCCCCGCACCCCACCCCAGCGCTGGGCACTTGTGTGGGACCCCCAACACGGGCGGGTTTGAGCTCTGCACCCCCAAAAAACCCGCGGTTCTTCTGCCCGGTACGAGGAGCCCTCCCGGCGCTGCAGCCGCTCGGCACAAGGATGCCGCTCGCCTGGCGATGCTTCCCTCCCCGGGGAAAGCAAAGCCCCGCGGCTCAGGGACTTCCACGGCTCCTCAGCGCGGCGGGTCCGGCGCGGGGGGAGCCGCGGGCACCGGGGACATCCGCGGGCACCGGGGACAAGCGGCGGTACCGGGGACATCGGCGGGGACATCGGCGGGGACATGCGCGGGGCCGCCCCCGGCCCGCCCCGAGCCGGGCATTGGCCGCGGGCGGCGGGGCGGAGGTGGCGGGGACGCCGCGCCCGCCTCCCGCCGCCGCTCCCCCAGCGCCGCCCGGCCAAGTTTAAACACCCCCGGCCGCGCCGCCCCGGAGTTCGCGGGACGTGCCGGGGAGCGGCTGCCAGGGGGGGCCCATCCCGTCCCGCCCCGCCCGGAGCGCCCCCGCCGCCGCCTATGCGGGAGCCGCGGGGCCGGCGGAGCCATGGACGGCGGCGGCGGGGCCCCGCCCGCGCTGGAGAAGAACGCGGCGGAGCTGACGGTCATGGACGTGTACGACATCGCCTCGGCCGTGGGGCAGGAGTTCGAGCGGGTCATCGACCAGCACGGCTGCGAGGCCATCGCCCGCCTCATGCCCAAGGTGGTGCGGGTGCTGGAGATCCTGGAGGTGCTCGTGAGCCGCAACCACATCAACCCCGAGATGGAGGAGCTGCGCCTGGAGCTCGACCGCCTGCGCCTCGAGAGGATGGACCGCATCGAGAAGGAGCGCAAGCACCAGAAGGTGCGGGCGGGGGTGGCGGGGACGCGGCGCGGGCAGCGCTGCCCCCGCAGAACGCAGCCGGGCCGGGGGGAGCCCCCCCAGCCGCCCAAACCCCCCCGCAGCCGCCGGGAAAACAAAGAGGGAGCCGGGATGCCGGGGGGAGCGGGCGGGGCACGGCCCGGGCGGGCCGATGCTGCCTTAGCGTCGCTGAGGGTTTGGGCGTGTTGTTGTTCTGTGTTTCCTTCCCTCCTGGAAGTTTCCTCCCTCCTTCCCATTCTCCTCCCCTTCCCCAGTCCCTGCATTTCCTTCCCCTTGTGTCTGCCCGATTAGGATTCCTGCTCCATCCCCTCTCCTGACGAGAGGGTAGTGCTGCTTCCTGCTAGGCCAGGAAAGGTCACTGGCAAGAATACACTTTCCCCTCCGGAGCTGGGAATGATTTAGCACTCTAGTTTTCCTGGCACGCACATCGGGTAGGCAAGTCCCAGGAGAGAGATGGAGGACCAAGCGATTTCAGGGCAGTGTTAGAGCTGGAGAGTAGGGAAGAGCACTCTCCCAAATTCCTGCTCCATCCTCTGATGGCTTGTTCTGGGGAGGTCACGGTGTTCCCTGACCCCACTCCGATGAAAACCCGAGGTGGAGATCATTTCCCATATCCTGTTACCCTCCTGGGGCAGCACAGCACGCTCCAGTCACTGCAGTGGCAGATCCAATCTTTAAACCATCGGGATAACTGATTCAAAGGAATGGTTCTTCCAGTGACTGCTAAATCATCCCTGCTGCCTCGTGCCATTCCTGCTCCCACCCACGGAGTCAGAATAAACAGGAGACAGGGGAGTTTCTGGAAGAGAGACCCCAAACTTCAAGATTTGGCTTGAATTTAAATAAATTCAAGTTTTATGTATTTAAATGAGCAATCTAGGGGACTTTCACTTAGCATATAGAAAATTCAGGATAATACCTGCAGCATTTTGCAGAGGAAGTCTCAGGGCAATGTCTCTGAAAAGGATGGTGAAAGATCTTTAATGTACAAAGCCTTGATAAGGAAGGAGGTCTGGAGAACAGATAAAGGGCGTTGGATATTTCCCAAATGCTGCAGAGTGAAGTGGATACTGAACTGCCCCAGAGTCATTGTACAAGTTGTTCTGTGTGGATGTTTCTGAAGTGTTAAAAAGTTTCCTAAAGGTGTCAGCTGATCTCCCTGCAGTCAAACACCTCTGCTCTGGCAGCTTCTCCGAGTCCTGAAGGGGCTCAGGGAGCGTTCAGACAATCCACAGGAAACTTTGCTGGACCCATATTTTAACAACAAAAAAGTACAAGATACACACGTGTATTTTTTTTATCAAGTTGATTCCCGGTGCACCAGGTCCCTGTAGAACTGTGGTGTCACATCATTTCTCTTCCTGTGGGAGGATTTGAAGAGTCTTTCACGGGACAGGTGCTGATAAGCACAAAAACTCAGACTGAGAAACAGTTCTGACCCAAAAGCCTCCAAAAACCCCCACCCAGACAAGCTTTTAGTGGTACTTGCAAGCATCAATTTATGAGATTTCAGCACTTTAAGTGCAAATGTGTTTTGCCCATAAACCTGGCTCAGCACCCCCTGCCTGGGGTTCCCTGAGCTGGCACAACTGTGGATCTGCCTTCTCTGGCTGGTCCTTCCACTAATGAGGAGCCAGAAGTTTAATCTCCGCTCCAATTCACCGGGCTCTGCAAGAGCAGTAAATGATGAAGTTTGCCTGGGCAAGCCGTAGGATAGCTGTGTGTTTACAGTGCAGCCACACCTAAATGATACAAGCTGAGGTGTTTTGGGGGCTTTGTGAGCGTTCTGGTTTGGCTCTGTCTGTGTTCTCAGAGCTGAGGAATGTGCTGGTTTATTGCTAAAATAGGTCACTGCGTTATTTTAGCTCCACAGTTGTAACAGGCAGCATCCCTGTAAATAGTGCAGGTGTTTGGCAATATCGGTTTCATTACAGATTTGCCTTTCTCTCGAGATAGTTTTAAGTAAAAGAGGTGGTGATTAATGACATTTTCTGTCCTTTTTAATAGTTAAACCTGCACAGCTTACCACACCTTTATGTAACTCGTTGTCTCTTTGCCATACAGTGTTTTCTGCAAACGTTTCAGCAGCAATACAGGGATAAATGCCAGGATAAAATGGCATTTGGACCCCAAAGTCACCGGGAACACGACTTCCCATTATCAGAGCAGGCATTCAAAGCACAGAGCTGTCCTTTAATCTCTTGGCAGAGCTTATTTTAGCCTGGAGCTGTGCTTGGCTGGGTTGTTGTGTGAATGTGTTTTGTTGTTAGGTAGGAGAGGGGCCTGTGGATGGATGTGAGAGTCAGCAGTGACTCAGCCTGGCTCCAGGGATCCGCGTGGAGCTTTCTGTTTGGAGCACAGACGTGAGCACGGAGCGGGGAATGCCCCCCACTGCAGGAGCCTGAAACACAGGGAAGCTTTTGGAACGAGCAAAGCTCTACATTTTCCTTGAGGACTCCTTTTTACCTTCTGTCCTAATCTGACCTCTGTGAGGATTGGTGACAGCTGCTCTCGACACCGAGTGTCCCCACAAATGGGAGCTGCTTTGCCCGGCCCCGCTGCCGCTGACACAGATGCCTCTCAGACATTCCAGAGGGACCCGTTGGCATGGGAAGCCCCACGGTTTGGGCTTGTGTTTACCACCTGCACCAGGAGCTCTGGCCCTGCTGCACCAGATCCCACACGTTGGTTTCCACTCGTGTTTCATAACAGAAACTCAGAGCAGAGACGCTGCTGGGTCACAATGAGCACGTCTGACCCCGACTGCCCGATCCTCACTCTGGGCTGGGTTGGGGGCATCTGGAACAGCTTTGCAGCTGCTTCTTGGGGTGCAGGAGGGGATTGTTTGCTGGTGTTTGGTTGTCTAACACAGCAGCCCCCTTAATCTGGTCCTCACAGCAGAACAGGGCACAGGGAGCATCCTTTGGGGAACTTGCACGGCACAAATGTCAGCACCGGGAACGATCTCCTCGTGCCTTTACATCCAGCACATCCCAAAAGGGGACTAGGATGCCTGGGTTCCTCATGGTGGCATTAGGAAAGCAGATGCCTTCTAAGACACTCAAAGTAGCCTCATTTTATTGTTTTCCATAATAGGATCATTACTGTAAATAGTCCAGTCAAAGACTCTTACCATGTTTTAAAATATGAATGTCTTGTCCTGGTCTACCCTCTAGGAATTAGAGCTGGTGGAGGATGTCTGGAGAGGGGAAGCACAGGACCTTCTCACCCAAATTGCACAGCTGCAGGAGGAGAATAAACAACTGATGACAAACTTGTCTCACAAAGACATTAATTTCACAGAAGAGGAGTTTCAGAAGCATGAAGGCAAGTTTGACACTTCAAATTCAATACTGGCTTTGTTATAAAAAGCGATACCTTATCAAAATATTTTGACTGGATGCTCTAGTGTGGTTTTTTTCCCTGTAGATTAATTCAGGCCTGGGGTTTGGAGTCTTGTTTGTTTGTTTAGTTGAGTTTTTTACCTGAATAGAAAAATCTCTGAATACTTGATGACACTGAAGACATGATAAGTAAGAGGTGAAGGTAGGAGGGAAAGAAAAGCCTGAACAGCTTTTTGTTTGTCTGAGAAGCATCTCTGCAAGTAAACTCTAGATACACTTTTTGGTCTGTCACTTTTTAGTTCTCACTTTGCAAAAAAAAACCACTCTTAAGCCCTGCTTATGTTTTTTTTAAATACAAACAGAATAATCCATTCAGTGTGGTTATTTCACAGCACCGTGCACAGAAACAAGTGCAGCTGTTGATCTGTTCAGAACTGTTGGTAAAGCAGCACATCAAGATTTCTGTCTCTGAACTGCCTCAGTCCCTGCATGGGGATATTCCAGGAGAAATCACTGTATTCTGACAGGAGAGGAGACACTGGTTTTACTTGGTTTACCTGCTTTTAGGCTTCCCTTAGTTTTTTGGGACTTCATCATCCAGCAACTGAAACAATTGCCAGGCTCAGCTCCCACCCCCAGCTCAGCCAGCAGCTCTTTCCCAGGAGCAGAGGAACAGATTCCTGTTTGCTCCGCTGTTCCCAGCACAGAATTCGAGATCCCGAGTGCATTCCGTGATGTCCTGAGTGGGAGTGCAAAGGGACAGCCAGTCTGAACACAGAGCAGCCAGCTGAGCCCCTGCAGCCTCCCCAGTAAAGCTCCAGGAACAAAGGGATGTCCCTTTCCAGGTACCAGGGGCTGGGATTAGTGCAGGTTTGCTGCAGGAGGAGGAAACTGCCCCACAGAGTGCAAGTGGCACCTGCTGTCACCCCGAGGCTGAGCACTGCACTGCTCACCTGCCCTGGGGAGAGCAGGAGGAAACCTTCACAAAGCAAAAACTGGGGAACCTCTCAAGAGGACCACTTTGACAAACCAAATGCAGCACTTCCAATTTAGGAGTCAGCGAGTGGCAAACGAGCAGCTCCACGTCGGGCTTTTAAAGTCCCGTTTAAAATTCAGAATGGCAGCAGTGAGTCATGGGCCGTGGAGACTGACATCTTGTTAGAAGGAACCAGCTTCCCCTTTGTTTTCTTTTCTTTTTTTTTTCCTTCTTTTTCCCTTCCAGGGGCCATCTAGCTCACTGCAGCTCATGTGCTTGCATTTAAATATAGCCACACTCCTCACATCCAGCCAGCCAAGCAGATGCCAGACGTGCTTTTCGTGTTATTTTTACTGTGTCTGCCCCGGGTAGAACAACACAAACAAAACCCATAAAGCCCGTTCCAGACTTCAGATTCTGGGATCGCTGATAGTCTTCAACCAAAATCATCAGTTTCAGTCAAATCACGTTAATTTACATCAGCCTGATCTTATTACCGGGGTCTGTTTTGCTCTTAGGAAATGTCGTCATTAACGAGCAGGGATAGATTTGTCTCCAGTGACTTGTTTGGGGAGCGTCAGCAAGCAGAGCTGCTGCTCTTTGGCAGTGTCCACCCTGGGATGTGATGCCTGGGGAGTCCAGAGAGGTTTTCAAGCTGCAGGCTGTGTCAGCTGGGCTGGCTGTGCCCAGACTGCAGTGCTCCCAGCGTGGTTCAGTGTTGTGCTGGTGTCTCCCCTCAGCACTGGCCCCAGGGAGCAGCAGCTCCTGCTTCCTCACCACGCGTTTTTTTGGCCCAGGCAACAGAGGCCGCTGATTTGGGTGTGCAGGATCCAAACTGTGAGCAGAGCAGGGTTCCTGTGGAAGGAACAACACAAACCACACAGGAGGGCTTGAAGATGAGTCTGTTCCACCCATTAAGGTGACTCCTCCCGAGCTCAGGCTGAGCCTGCCGGTGCTGACTGAGTGGAATATCCCAGGGAAATGCCACGAGCAAAGCTGATCCCAGTGTGTCAAACAGGCCGAGCAGGCTGTGTGTCAGTGCAGCAGGGAGCTGCTGGCTCAGCCTGCCTGTGGCAGGGGACAGGCAGCAGTTGTGTGACCCTCCTGTGCTGCAGAACCTCCAGTGCCCTTCCCAAGTGGAGTTGAACTTGTTCCAGGTGTTCAGGTGGTGGTGCAGTGCCCCGAGCCCTGCCTGGCACTTTGGCCTGCAGTGAGATGTGTGAACACAACATTAACAGATCCCTAAGCATAAACGACGGGGGGTTTTGTTTGGTTTTCATTTGGTTTGGGTTTTTTTCCCCAGTTTCTTTTCTTTTTTCCCTTGGTGTTCCCCTCCTGGCTGCTTTCCTTTCTCCTGCTGGAACAATGCTGTGATCCCAGCAATCCACAGGAAGCTGCTCATAGGATGTGCCTGGGGAAGCTGGCTGGGTGTGCCATTTCAGATCTTGCAGTTATTAGAGTTTGAATCATTTAGAGATAATTATTTTACATTTAGGGCACTTAGTGATTTCCCTCTCCTCCTTCCCAGCGCCTGAGGAAATGGAAGGAGATGTGACTGTTTCACAAACGCTTCCCACCTTTCCTTTCCCCTCCCATTGAAATAAAAATCATCGTGATTTGTGCACACAATTGAAGTTTTTTAGGTTTACCAAGTGTTAGGGAGAAAAATGAGCCCAGTGGGAGGAAAAGTAGTCAGCACTGAAATGGTCCTTTATTCTTTAAATAGCACCTGCTATCTGGAGATCTCAAAGCACCTCACAAGTTCTTATGAACAGAGCTGCACTCACCAGTCCTGCCTCCTTCTGGGTAAAACCTCCACTCTCAAGTGTCACTGCAGTTCCTCCACTTCGAGGCAAAGTTGGGGCATTGTTTTGGTTTTGAATACAGGTGATGTTTCAGGCCTGGCAGCAGTGGGTGGATCCAGGAACCTGCAGTGAGTTTTGGGGACACTGTGACGTGCCAGCCCCGTGTGTGAATGGAGAGTTGAGCAGCAGCGTGTCCTCCTTGTCCTCCCTGCTGGGAGTGAGCTGGTACCACAGCAGAGAACCCAAATTACCCTTCCAAGAACCAGAACCCAGAGCACAGGGCTGACAAGGAGCAGGGTCCAGAAACAGAGCAGGAAAATATACCCCAGAATTAAAAGAGAGGAGAGTGTAACACTTAGAAACAGAACACCATGGCACTGGCACTTCTTGTCTGGGGTTTGGCAGGAACATGCCCTGTGAACCAAACCAAATTCCCAGCCAGCCACGAGCACCAGTCCTTTTCCCAGCAGGGCAGTTCCCTGTTGGGTGCAGTTCCCCAGTGAGGGGTCAGAGCTGCTGTATCCCTGTTTCCCTGGTACACAGGGAGCCCAGAGCTGCTGAGGAGAGCACACCCAGCAGTTACTGCCTGTCTGAGCTCTGTCCTGCCCTGCTGTGTTATCCAGCAGATCCCACTGGAGCTGACCTGGGAGCTGGAGCTCCTCCAGGAATGCAGCCAAATTCTCTTATGGAGCAACTCTGGATTTCTCTGGTGAGGGAAGAACAAAACCAGAAAGTCTGAGCTGCTGTTAGAAAGTTAGACCTGCCTGGTTGCATTTGATGCAGGAAGAGCATATTTCTGATGTGGGAACTGCTTTAATATATTAAAAAGGAAGAGGCTTTCCAGCCACCCCAGAGTGGGGAGTGAATTATCACCACCTGCAGTTCATAAATGGAAGATGAGGACCTGCATAATAAAATACTTTGCCAAAGGTAATAGAAGTAGCAGCAGCCCCTGGATTTGAGTCCTGCCTGAGCTGGACTTTGGCCAGAGCAGGCAGGCACTGCCCTGCTCACAGAGTTTCATCTTCCAAGGATGTTATGAGATAATTTCGGACTGTCAGACCTGTCTCTGTGCCACTGTCAGGGAAGGCCAGAGCAGGGGATTCATCATCCCACCAAGTTAAATGCTCTGCTCTGTGTCTGCCCCGGAGCCCATCACTGCAGTGCCAGATCCATAATGGCACATGGAAGAATGATTCCTTGGTTTTTTTCCAGGTTAATGTAACCCTTCATTTATTTTCAGACAGGATCAGTGTTGGATTCTTGGCAACGTTCAGAACATCTTTCACCCCTGAAATCCCATGTAGGATTTTTCTCTCAAGTACAGTTGTTTTAAATAGGAATCATTACACAATAGGATGGTGGCAAAACATGAGGATGAAATATGTGAGCATAATTCAGATTGAATTTCTGTTCTGGATTCAGTACCCCCTGAAGGTTCTGCTTTCACCCAACACAAAACTGGGTTTCAACAAAAAAATCCTTCTAGTCCAGTGCTCCTCAGCTGATTTAGATCCAGGCACCATCCACCACAGTGACTGTTGTTTACATCTTGTTGAGGATCCAGACCATCTTCTTTACAATTTTCACAAGGCCTTGGCCAGCTGATTGCACAGATTTTCACACAGATAACTGAGCTCCCTGGGGCACAGTGTGAACATTGATGTAAAACTCCTGAGGCAGCAACGTGCAGCAGTGGCACTTCACTGTTACAAATGTTTCTGAGGACTGCCAGTTCCTTTTTCAAGGAGTTTCTGTGCAGTGGCTTTCTGGAGTGGATTGTGTTATCTGTGTTCTCTGTTACCCTTGAAGTAACCTTTAAAGCATCTTCCACCAGCTCTGTAATTTTACCAGCAGGCAACTTCCAGAGTCTTTACCTAAATACTGTCCTGTTGTTGAACACTGGTATTGTTCTCAGCCTCAGCAGCTCCTAAATGTCCTTGCTTTGATTTCTGTGTTGGTTTTTTAACCAGGGATGTCAGAGAGAGAGCGGCAAGTCATGAAGAAGCTGAAGGAAGTGGTTGATAAACAGAGGGATGAAATCAGAGCAAAGGACCGGGAACTCGGACTTAAAAATGAGGATGTAGAGGCTGTAAGTGGCCCTTGGCCTTCCTATTTCTCTTCTTTCTCAGCCATCTTCCACAGCCTGCTTTTAAATTTGAAGTTAGTGTAGAAGTGGAAGCAGTGCCAGTCTCAGTCCTGCAGCTGAGGTGTCCACAGAGCCCTGCAGCGCCCAAAATGGGCAGGCTGATGTGTCCTGGACCAGACTCTTGGCACGGGAACAGGGCAGGTGATTTCCTCTGGCTGCTTGGATGTCTCTCCCAGCTTTGGCAGTGCTGACTCAGCACCCAGGGATCCCTGCTCTGCCTGAGGGGGCTGCTGTGCATTTTGCACATTCCGTGTGCAGAAGTGGCAGCAGGGACTCCACACACACATCCCCACTGCAGGGACACTGTGGGGGTACCCACACACACATCCCCACTGCAGGGATACTGTGGGGGTACCCACACACACATCCCCACTGCAGGGATACTGTGGGGGTACCCACACACACATCCCCACTGCAGGGATGCTGTGGGGTACCCACACACACATCCCCACTGCAGGGACACTGTGGGGGTACCCACACACACATCCCCACTGCAGGGATGCTGTGGGGACACATTCCCACTGCAGGGATGCTGTGGGGGTACCCACACACACATCCCCACTGCAGGGACACTGTGGGGGTTCCCTCTGCGTGGGAAGGGGCTGGGAGGAAAGGGCCTGAGCTCAGCCAGCAGTGACTTGTGTTGCAGGTTCAGTCTCAGGTGAATCTCAGAAGTGTCTCCGGGATCTCGTCACGTCTTGGCACTTTCTGTGTTAGGAGCAGTGACCTCCTTACCCAAATTGTGCTTCCCATCCTCACGCTGCCTCCTCTCCTTAGGCCATGGGGCTCTTCTGCCCTAGTGAGGGCCAGGCCTGGGTGGCCTCTGCTCTGCCCAAGAGCCTCCTGCAGGTGCTGCAGCCCTTGGAATTGGGGCTGTCCACACACACCCAGCAGGTCACACCCTGGCCTGGGAGAGCCCCAGAGCTCAAAGCAAGGCCTGTAAACTGAACACTGAGGATCCCTCTGCCTTGTCTCTCTTCTACTCGGGGTTAAGATTTGATCCAGAATTCCATAAGACACCCTATCCTTCAACCTGGCTTTTTTTGGAGTTATAAGAAGTGATGGATGTGCTTTTAGCTGGAGAATTCCCTGTCCTGAGGGAAAAATGCCTCTTTCCTCTAGAAACCAATTAAATTTGGGTGACTGAAACTGTAGCAGGTCATTAGATACTAACAAACTAATCTGAGGAGAATTTTCCAGATTAAATCCAACCCACTCTTTCTCTAACACGATGTTTGGGACTGGGCCACCCTGGCTGATGGCTGAGGGGACACTGAACCTCTGGCACTGATGGGTTTTTTTGCAGCTTCAGCAGCAGCAGAACAGGTTAATGAAGATTAACCACGACCTGAGGCACCGGATCACGGTGGTGGAGGCGCAGGGGAAGGCCCTGATTGAGCAGAAGGTGGAGCTGGAAGCGTATCTGCAAACCAAGGAGCAGGAGATGGGCACCCTGAGGGCAGAGCTGGGCAAGCTCCGAGAGAAACTGCAGGGTGAGGACAGCCAGGAGAGCCACAATGGGGAGGAAGGCAAGGTAAGAGGCACTTTAAACCACTTTTAAACTGGTTTTTAAAAGGATTTGGCCTCCATACCGAGTACCCCTTTGGATAAAGGTAAATGGGATTGATGCACACCAGGGGCAATGGTGGGACGTGAGGACAGCGCTTTGTGTTCAGGTGTGACAGCAGTGATGTCACTCACTGCACGGGGCAGGAAGGACCCTGTTAGTGTGGATGGTGATCCAGTGGCACAAACCCCTCTTTCCTAAAGGAGGGAACCAGCCCTGCAGAAGGCAGAGTGGCAGCACAAGGCAGCAGTGAGGGAACAGCTCTGCATTTAGACTTGGCTGCTCATCCTGCACCCGTTGGGTCACCCACCAGAGCACAGAATTTGCCAGATATCAGAACAAATCATTGCCTCAAAAGAGAGTGTGAAACACCCACCTCACTGGCAGTGGGCACAATGTGCATCAGGAAGCAGAGGCAGAGGCTGGGGGGTACCTTGGTCCCCCTGGACTGTGAGAGCCAGTGTTGTGTTAACATGTCCCTGAACTGGGCAAGCACTGCATTAATGATGAAAAGGGTTATTTCATTGCTGTTAATTCTGCCAGGACACCCAGCTTTGTAAATGGGGCTGGGGAGCCCAGGCCTGGAGCCAGCAGGAGTGAAAGTGTCCTCAGTGTCTGCAGAGAAAGGATTCATTCTTCACCTCTCCCCAGCTCATCAGTTCCGTGGCAATGGCAACTCTTCTAATTAGAGCCGTTCCCGCTCCCTCTGCCAGGACAGAGCTCAGACAGGAATTGCAGTGGCAGGCAGAAAGCTGGAATGTTCCTGAAGGGACATTGCTTGTTGGCTTCAGTCAAGGACATTGGCCTTGGCTGCTCAGTCCCTGCTGATTGGAGCAAAATCCAGCAAAAATAGCTTCTTTGGGTCATGGTGTGGGGCAAATACACAACCCAAACAAGACACATCAGCTCAGACCATAAACTGGGGGGTGAAGAGGAGGAAAAGCTCTTGTTGGGTTGCATCAATCTTTATTCCCTGTGGTTCTGTGCAAAGGAATGTGCTTGGATGGAGGGGTGGTCAAACAGTGCCCAGGTGAGCATCACTCCACTGCCTCATCCCTGCAGGACAGGGACTGCAAGTGGGAATTCCCACTGCACCAACCTGAAACCACCTATCAGTAGATGGCAAAACTGGTCCACAAACACAACCCAAAAAGAGGGTGGGATCAGGCTTAAAAAAATGGACTGGTTAGGAATTTCAATCCTTAGCCCCTCAAATTTCCAGCTTGCATCCCACCCAGGGGCTCAGAGACTGCCATCTCTGCATCCTGCAAGGAGAGCTGGTGGCTGAGCTGGCAGCTCTGATTTGCTGTGCTGGCCTCTATCAGTCCTTGCAAAAAGCAGCACATTTCAGATGGGCTTTGCTACATTTCAGATGCCCTGCTGTGGAACAGAGTGCCCTGCATTTATCTGCACTGTTAGGAATCCACATTTTCACAAGCACTTTGTGCCTCAGAGTTCTGAGCAAGTGCTAGAGGGGCCAGGAAACACCCCCACGGGCCTGGGAGTGCAGACAAGTGCCTACAGAGCAAGGTCTGGCTTGTTGGGAGCCCCAGAAACTCGGTGGTGGGAGATGAAATTCCTCCAAGCTCCCAGTGAACTCTTCTTAGAGGACAAGGAGAGAGAAGGGGACGGGTGTGTGACCCCCTCATCTGCGGTTTTGTTCCTCTTTGTAGCCACATCTGGTGCTGACACCATTCCTGCTTTCTACATGAAGGCATTAGAGGGATAAATACTTAACCCTCCACATGATGTGTTTGCATCCAAAGGAGCCATCTCTTTGAGGGAGGAGCTGGAAGGAACTGCATGACCTTTGCTGTGCTGGTTTTTTTCAGTGTTTATGTAAAAGGCTGATGTTTGATTTACCCCATTTGTTAAAAGAATGAATTCTTTAAACTGGCTTGTTTATCAAAAATTGGACATTTTCAGTGGGCTTTCTGGCAGGAATTTCTCCACAGGAAAACCTTTATCCCCTCTGAGGTGGCTCAGGTTGGACTCTGTGCCCAGGCCTGGACATGTGCACAGGAAACCCCCAAGGGATAAGATCCCTGGGCTGCTCTTGGCTGCAAGTCTTTAACACGAAAAACAAACTCTAGATAAACACCTCAGACTCCTCCAACCTGCACTCACAGGATGAATTTAAAGCCCGTGTTTCACCTCCCCCAGGCAGAACCAAACAATGATGAGTGCCTGTCAGAGTCAGAAAAGATGGCACTGGACTTGAAAGATCCCAATCGGCCGAGGTTCACCTTGCAGGAGCTGCGGGACGTCCTTCACGAGAGGAACGAGCTGAAATCCAGGGTGTTTTTACTTCAAGAGGAGCTTTTGTATTACAAAAGGTGGGTCAGATCCCCTCTCCTGTTGCATGAAATACAGAGGGGAGCCAGAGGAGAGGTCTGGGAACAAGAAATGTGCTCTGAAATAGTGCCCAACAAGCTCTTGTTGCTGCAAAGGTTTAAGTAGAGGTTGCAGGGATATGGATATGGCTTTGGTTTGAACCTCAAATTTGGGAAAAAACGATTACAAACATTTAATCCTTTTGAACTTCAAATATGAGGGTAAGAGTGGGTCTCAAATGAAAATTCTAGATGTCTCATTCAATCCATTCCTCTTCTCCTCTCTTTGTCACAATGGGAAGAAAATATTGAACAGAGAGCCAGTTCTTGATGCTTTTCTGAAGAGAAAAATCTCCAGTTGATTTGAATGAGTTTGGAACAGATCCTTTTGCATTCCTTCATCCCCAGATTGAATTGTAGACCTTAAAGTGGCTTGGAAGGAGAACATTAATTACCTTTTCTTTCTTTCAAGTGAGGAAATGGAAGAAGAAACCAGACCCCCTCAACCTCCCCCCATAATTCAGCCCAAACCCTCAACTCAACCTGAATCTGGAATCAAACGACTGTAAGTAGCATATTTTCTATTTCTGGGGATAGTCTGCAAATACTAAATGTTTCTTACGGGTAGGACAGTTTTAAAGACTTTTAAAATGAAGATAACCACATTCCTACTGTCTGTGGGAGAGACACTGGAGGAGCACTTGGCTTTGGCCAAAACTCGTGCCTAGATCTGGGACAACTTTCAGTCTGGGGTTGTATTTCCCCATGAGCTCACTGTGCCCATTTCCCTGTTGATCAAAGCCTTTAGACCCTGTGGGAACAGCACAAAACCCTTCTGTTTGCTGAGCAAATTCTCTCCTGGAGAGGAGGTGTCAAAGAACCCCACCTTCCTCTGAGGTGTTTTGTGAAACCAAAGCTCCTGCCAGGGCTGGGCAATTCCCACTCCATTAGGAAATCACAGGCTTAGCCAGTCCATCTGTCCGTGGAAACTCCCTCCTGTACATTTATTTACACCAGATGAAGTCTCCCAACCTTACAGCAAACAACTCTTTGGATTTTTGTGCTCCTGGAAGCGTAACTTTTCTAACAGCACAGATGGTTTTGGAACAGGCATTTCATTCCACAGAAGAATCCAGGATTCCATCCTGTCCCCAGTCCTTGTTTAGTGACTCCAGCAGCCCTGTGACAATAAGTTCCACTGGAAGATCTGGACTGACCCAAAACACCATGAAGTCAGGAGGGCACTGCTGATTATTTTCATCATTATTATTATTATTAACTCTGCCTGTGCTCAGAGAACTCTTCCTCTCACATGACTAGAAAATACACTCAGTGTTCATTCTGCAACTGGGATGGTCTAAAAATAGCGACTTTGTGACACAAGATCTCCACTGTAAAGCTTCTCTTTCCTTTTCCATTTGTTTTAGTACTTTTCAAAGCTTACCCTCTCGTGGGGAATGGTTGGTTTCAGCTCATGCAGTTTGTGTTTGATTTGAAACACTGCCTTTGATGAAGCAAAGGCAGCATAAAAATGTAAATAGAGGCTGTGAGACACAGCCCATGGTGAGGAGGAATTAGCTTTGACTCTGCCTAAGCTGGAATGACTTCCTTTAGCTGTCCTGCTCTGTCTCTCTCTCTCTCTCCCTGTAGCCATCACATTAAATAAGAGAAAACTGCCTGAATAATCTGCAAGGGTGGTAGCAGTTTTCAGGTTTGTCTTATTCTTGCAGCCTGTCTGGACAGGATTTGTCTGGTGTGGGTTTATTTTCTCCCATCTCCCCTCTCTGTGTGTTGTCAACGGTGTCCTTGTAGATGGGCTTTAAAAGGACAGGGAATGTCACTGCTGGGAAAAGCAAAGAACACAAGTGTAGCCCCTGTCCTGTCCTGTCCTGTCCTGCAGTCCCTGCCTGCTCTGAGGTGTCTCCAGAGCTCTTTTCCCCCAGGATACCTCTGGATTCCTGAGGAACAAACACAGAGGCACAGAAACCCTCTGTGCCTAAAGATGGGGTGAAAACTTGGAGTGCTGCTGTCTTTGTGCAGAGAGCCTTCCCACAGCAAAGTGGGTTTTTTTTTTTCCCCCCTCTGTTTCAGACTTTTCTTCCTGATTAAAGCTGAAGTACAAAAACAGGAGGCCCTGCTGGTCCTCTCAGGGGAAGTTTTAGCCTTGCCTGTGCACTGTGCCCTTTTTCCCTTCCCCACACGGTGTCTGGGGGAATGAACCACGTGTAAATTGTAGCCTGTGCCCTCCAGGATGTGCTCAGGTGATTCTCCATAAAGAAAGGAAAGCACAAGTTACAGAAATCAGCAGTTTTTCCTGGGTTGGCTCGTTTGAGTTCTGATCTCAGACTGACTGACTTCTACAGTTGTCTCTCCCCCATCACATGACAGTTTTAATGAAATAATGTAACCAGGAAGCTTTAGTGAGGAGGAAAAGTCCCAAGGATTAAAAATGCTCCCTCTGTTTGGAGGAGAAAACTCCCTTTTGTTCTCTCCTGAAGGCTACGTGCTTGTCTGTCCCTGATGTCATGCCTCAAACAGCCAGGAGTTTTCTCCCTGTTCTCCCACTCTACCGAAGCTGATGTGTGTGTGTGTGTGAGTTCTGCAGCTCAGGGTGTGCCACATGGCATAAAAACAGCAATCCTGGCTGCTGCCCACGATCCAACGGTGTTTGCTCGTTTGTTTTTGGGTTTAACTCAGAGCAGGAGTTAGGGATTGTTGGGGACAGCTGCTGTTGGTCACAGGTGAAATGTCTCTCGTGATCTCAACCTAACCTTTAACTGACATTAGTCCACAGTTCAAAAAATTATTTGGCCCGAGGGAGAAGCTGTGAGGAGAATCCTTAGGGGAGCAGAGGGTGTTGCAGGTACGGTGCAGGGGTGCTGGCAGGGGGGTGTCTGGGCACAGAGCTCTCAGCTCTCTCAGCTGCATGGATTGTCTAATAATGCTCAGCAAGTGCTGGAGCCTCACCAAGAGCCAGTCCTGCTGTGAGCAGCTCCCCAGTGTCCCTGGCAGGGCAGTTGCAGGGTGTCCCTTCAGCACTCAGTGCCTGCAGTTGGCATCTCCCTGCATGTGAAACCATCAGGTTCCTTTGGGACAGACACACAGGCCCTTTAACTCCCAGCTTTCTCAGGGGGTTCTTTCAACATTTCACCTGCAGTGCTGGTTTTGAACTTGAAACTCTCGACTGCAATTTCTGTAAATTGAACTGTGATGCCGGTCCTCTGTAACCCCGTTTTCCTGTGAACACCCAGTAGTCACAGCAGAGTTTTGTAGTCCTTAACATCCCCCTTCATCCTCCATTTCACTGTGCCTGTGCCTGTTTGTCTCTTGGGAAGTGAGCATTCCCTCTGCTCTGCACTGCTGGGGGTGGTGACACTCTGATGGACTCCAAGCCAGGTCGCAGCTGCCTCGCACCAGGAAAAGTGGTATCTTTTAGACCTCCCAAAGCAATTGGAACTCTCACCATGGCTGGTTTCTCTAAAGCAGAGTTTTCCCCCCAGGAAGAGCTGTCCTGGGTGATGCAGATCCGCCTCTCCCCGTCCCGTGTCCCTGCTGTTGGAATTCCAAGTAACCCCGTGTAGCGTGTTTGCCTTTTCTCTTTTCATGGAATGCTTTTCTTTCCCTCGCTCCGGTCTCACCTCTTCTGTGTCTGTCCTTTCCTGCCCAGGATCTTTACAGCCATAATGCCCATGGTAGCAGCTGGGTTGATTCCAGACGATCCCACATTGCAGCCCATCAGAAGACTTGTGTCCCTTGTAGGAATATTTTTGTTTAAAAATGTTTGGTACTGTGGTTTCCCCCTGCATGCCCCCCTGTTAACCCTCCCTGCTGGTTGCGTTCTCCTGGTGCCTGTGGGATCCCCCAGGATCCAAGTGCCCATCAGAACGACCAGTCAGTCCTCCACTCATCACAGTCCCCAACTCATCCTCAATATTGACCTTTTATCCCCTTTTGCCCTAATGTTGCCATGCTAAACCCGTCAGTATTCCTTGGAAAAGTGGTGCAATCTGCAGTTTTAACCAGCATCTCTTAATTCTGCTTCCTGAGCGTGGCTACTCCCAGTGCTCACCAGTGCTCACCTTCTGAGAAACTCGTTGCTGATGATTTGTTACAGTGAGTTGGAGTCACAGAATGGAGTGGCTGATTTCTACATTAATTCCCAGTGTTAATTTTAATTACAGGCTGTTGCTTCCATGGCTTTCTATCTCTGCCCTGTATATTATGTCTCTAATTATGTATTTTGGAACAGAGTGTACACTCCATAACCCATTCTGTCATCCAATTCTTGGCTCTCCCTGCAAGATGTACTGACAATTGTCAGTGCAAAGTCTCTTTGCCTTAGAATTGCTGCTTTAGTGACTTTATATTTACAGCAGTACTCCAGTATTTAAATTCCCTTCCTCTCCACACAGACAGGCTTTTCCCAAACATCCTCCAGGAGAATTTTCTAGGCATAAACACAATTGTCATTGTTTCAGGAGGAATTTTAAAAGCTGAACCCTTTAGGGATCTTACAACCATATTTTTCTCTTGCCTTATTTCATGATAAAATTAAAAATTACTGAACTTTGCCATTTAAAACTTGCTGCATAAACACAGCAGTCCTTTGTGTGGCCTCCCAGACAGCTCCCAGGCAGGAGCACACAAAGCCTTGGTCACTAAAAGCTTCTTTTATCAGCTGGAAGTGGCTCTGGCCCTGAGAAGACATTCCCTAGGGGTGTGAATTCAGGGGCTCCTGGGATGGAGGTGGTAGAAGAGTGTGAGGTTAATGAGGTGCCACAGACTTCCTTCACCATTAAGGCTGCACATTTGAAGCCAGGAAATGCAAAAGTTCAGGTCCTGCTGGCAGCATCAATTGCCTGGCATTGCACTGGTGTGGTGTTCTGTATCACTTTCTAGTCAGCAAATAATAATTCTTAATATTCTCAGTAATTATCATCATGCCCATCTGCACATCTGATGGGATGCTTTCCCAGGAAAGCTGCCTTAAACCTCCTCTGCCACAACTGCAGCCTCCTGTGTGACTGGAAGGCAGAATTTCCTGGGCTGCACGAGGCAGCTGGGATGGTTGGGATCAGCTGGGATGGTTGGGATGTGGTGCTGGGAGGGGTGGAAGGGACTGTGGGAGGAGGGAGGACACTGAGGATGGGGGCGTGGACTCAGCCTCAGGTTTATGCCCCGATATTCCCCCACCTGCCAAAGCTGAGTTTGTATTTGCACAGTCCCTTCCTGTGGAAGCTTTAGGAGTTCCTGGCCTGGATGCCAGCTGTGTGACACTTGGTACAGCACAGCCAAAACAATCTTTGCCCCTGTCAGTCCTTTGGGAGCTGGAACCCCAACTTTTGCATCTCTCAGCAGACCCAAACCCTGCACTAACAACACCCCTCGTGCTGAACTCACAGCAAACACTGACTTTGCCTAATCCAGTAACTTCCTCCCACACCAATAAAACAACCCTAAGGATTTTCCCACCCGTGTTTGTGGCTGGCAGTTTGCTGGTGGCTGAAGTGGCTGTTGGTTCCTGTGTGTCGTTCTCTGCGAGCACCAGGCCGTGGGACAGGGAATGACGTGCACGCTCGGGGGCATTTCTTCAGCCCTCATCCTGCAAACCCCCGTGCACTTTGGTGCCTTTATTCCTTTAGTTTTGCAGGAAATCAAGTCTGTGAATCAAAATCTGAACACTGGGAAAAAAAATGCGGAGACTTATTTTTCTTATCTTACAAATGAGATCCTTTGACACCCTTCCAAAAAAATGTCCTATCCACAAATAAACGGATTTAATGCAAAGATACCACTTTACCCATGCCCAGGAACTAACCTGTATCGTGTTGCTTCCTTACCTGAGGGCTGGGGAGGGGGGATGAACACCTGAATGGTACCTGCACCTTGTAGAGTCAACAGCATTTACAGCTTATCTGAAGCTTCCTCAGCCAAACTGCTCGAGACTGCCGTGACTCCATCCCTAACAACATCCCGACCGCGCTCCCGGGGGCTGCTCTGCCTTGACTTTTTGCAGATGCAACAGATTTTTTTTGCTCTGTGTTTTGTTGTGTACCAGGGGGAGGGTGTTGGAAGTGTTTTCAGGGTGGTAACCACTCTCCTTTCTTTTCTCTCCCTTCCCCTCCCCTCCCGGCAGGTTTAGCTTCTTCTCCCGCGATAAGAAACGTTTGCAGGCGGCGCAGAGAAACGTCCACTTCCAGGGGACTTTTGGGGAATGGTCAAACTCGAGTAGGGATGACTCCTACATGGAACAAGGCCAGGAGGCCCTGCAGCACCTGTGACTGAAGCCCTGAGTGTCCTGTTTGCTGCAGTGGATCCGACAGAGCCGTGCCCAGCAGCTCCTGTGAAGCACCGCGGCAGCTCCTCGCTGGTTTCGCCTCGCACACCTCGGGGTTGTTCCAGACCCTCCCAAAGGGATCCCTCGCTGTTCCCTTGGGGACTGTTTGCTGCAAACGGAGCCCAAGCTTTGTAGTAAGAGTTGCTGCCACCCTGGGACATGGAAGCTCCTAGATGACTTGTTCTGTGCCGAATAACAAGTCCACGGCCTTGTTCTTGCATTAACTACAGTAACACAAGCCTCTCGAAACCAAAAAAGGACCCGTGCCGCTGTTAGAAGTTTGTTTGCAGTGTCCAGCATCTAGTACAGGGCAAAGACTCTTCCACCCTGGTTGTTAACACTATTGGTTGTTTGCTTTTTCATTTCTGTGAGAATTTTTCTTTCAAGAGGGACACGACAGCCGGACCCCCTCGGTGGCAGCCCGAGCTGTGCCGTGTCCCGTCCGTGCCGCTGGCATCGGCACCCTGAGGAGGAGCCCCTGGGAACCCACCTGGCCCAGGGAGAAACTGGAGCAGCCTCGGGAGGGGCACTGAGTGTGCATTTCCCTCGTGCTTAGAGTGCCTAAAGCATGAAGAGTCCTGGATGAGGTGAGCGTGCCTTGTGTTCTGCCCTGAGTTCTGCAGTGTTAATGGAGTACAAATTGCTCACAGGGAGGAATCCCAACTCTTGGATTGTTTCCTTCTTAGTGGGGACTTCCCACCTCCCCCAAGAGTAGCAGGCAGCTGCTGGAAAGGAATTGGAGCTTTCCCACAGACAGGTTTTGAATGAAGTCACACTCCAGTTTCCTGTCCAGGTAAAACTGCCCAACTTCAGAGGGCAGCATGTCCTCAGCTGTTACACTGACCTGGAGATGGCCCCAACTCCAACCTCAACACTAAATGCTCTGTGGGCAGAGCAGTGAATCCTGTGTGCAGCTGCTCCCCTGCTGTTGGCTCCTGTCTGGGCAGCCCCTGTTACAGGGCTTAACTTGCCAGCCAGCCCAACTGCCGGGGGCTGGGATTTAATCTGCTCTGCAGTTGGGCTGGGATTTAATCTGCTCTGCAGTTGGGCTTGGGAGAGGCCTGGCCTGACTGAGGTCAGACTTAGAACACTAAAACTCCATAACTTGTGTCCAGCTCATGTCAGAGCATCCCCCCTGTACCACACACTCCACAGGCTCCCCCCAGGGTGGGAGAAGGCGAGGCCTGGGCTGAGGGGTCTCTGTGTGCTGGAGGGTCTGTGCTGAGGGGTCTCTGTGCTGGGGCTGCTGCTGAGAACACCCAGTGATGGCAGGGCCAGGGGCAGCTCCTGCTCGTGCAGTTCAGTGCCAGGAGCTGCTGGTACCACCCCCCCAGCAGCTCCACCTGCTCTGGGAAGAGCCTCCCCTCAGGAGTGGCACCAGGGATAGGAAACAACTGCTCAGGCTGGGGAAAAGCTCCAGCTGCTCTGGGTACTGAGTGCAGGAGGAACTGCTGAAGGACTCCTGGATGGGTTTAGTGCAGGCCAGTTGTTCTTAGTACAGGGTTATCCAAGACTGGATTCTTTGACGTGTGTGAGCACAGCAAAGCGTTCTCAGCCTGGCTGTAGTGAAAAGCCTGACAGGGAACTGTTCCCTGCAGTGTGGGCTCTGTGCTGCTCTGCTCCTGACTGCAGCTGCTTCATTCCAAACACAGATCTTCCATGTGTTCTAGGCAGGGAAGGTGTTTACTGTTCCCCCCTGGTGCTCCTGCAGCTGGGGCAGGGGGCACACGTGGCCTTACAGGAGACACCTGCATTAGACACAGTGACAGGAATTGGGCAGGTGAGCTTTTGCCTGGTTGTGTTTTGGGAACACCCACGGAACAGCAGCAATTCTTAAATGGGAGGGAGTGTCCTAATTTAATGAGACTTAAGTTGCCAAGATCTGGCTTCACTTCCATATGAGAAAAGCAGAAGCCCAGTCCAGTTCCATCCTGCTGCTGAATTGGGAGTGACCCTGCGGAGCCTCTGCCAGGCACAGTCCAGTCGAGTGGCACATCCAGGAGGGGTGCAGTGAGCCCAAACAATGCCAGAGTAAGCACATCCCTTTGGAAAGGAGCTGAGAGCAGTGAGCTGGGATAATGGAACCACACAGACCGAGCCTAAGCCGTGCTCCTGGTGCAGCAAAGCCCGGCCCAGAGCCCAGTAAAGCCCAGCCCAGAGCCCTGGGCACACTGTCAGGCCAGATCTGCAGCAACATCAAAGCACAGCACTAAGCAGGACAAGCTTCCCCCACTCATCTCTGCAGCCCATTACCTCAAACACCTCGTTGTTAGTTCCTCCTGACCTGCTGCCATTAACCACTCGTTGTCGTGCTGGAAGTGCTGAGTCCACAAGTGCCATCGGGAAGGATGGCCCAGAGGGAAGCATTTGTGAAGATTTTGGATCTGTCACGTGTTGGTTCTCTGTATTCAAGGAACATCTGCTGTTAGAAAAGGGGCCAGGATGGTGGCAGGTAAGGGGTGTCACAATCCTGCCTGCCAAGTGCAGGATCAGACATTTTATGGGTTAGTTTATTTTATTTTTTTTTTGGTTGGACAGTAAATCATTTTAACAGTTTAATAAATATTTCTGAAAAACACTTATTTCTGCAACAGCTGTGTCCTCTTTTTTCCCCTGTGGAAAGTTAATACCAGCCCTTCTTGGGGATGCAGCCCATGGATCTGTGTGTGTACAACTCTTTATGGAAATACAGCATCAAACTGGGCAAGGTTTAGGACAGGGCAGTCCAAAAGGCTTACAAAATATAGTTTAAATATGTTACCTGTCTGGCTTATGATGACAACAACACAATAGAGCCCTTTCTAGAAAGCACTGTAAGCTCTCCAAAGGAGATGAGTGTCTGTACAGACATATCCTGGCTCTGAAACAGATGCTTGGCCTCTGCTTTCCCCAAATCAGCAGCAAACCCACTTTCCAGAGCGGATTTAAACCCTGTGCAAGGCAGAGCTCCACTGGCAGAGAGGAGAGAACAGAGCGGGTGCAGCTGCAACATTTACCCATGACACCATCCCTCAGGGAACATCCATGGATTCATCAGGAACATGAGGCATTTTCTGACCTGTTTACTGCTCTGTGCTGCACATTCCTGGGGTACAAAGGAGCCACAGCTTCCCATGAGTACAAAATGGATTGGCCACGTGCTTGTCTCTCACCTGGCAGAACTAGTTAAGGACACAGCATCACCAAAGGTCTCACCTGTCCCAGCATCTTCAAGAAAATGAAATCATTCCCATCAGCTTCTGTTTTGGGGCCCATTTTTCAGAAGCTTTAGTTCGTTGCTATTCTATTCCTGTATTTCCAATGAGTGAGCGTTTCATGGTCACCTATCTGTGCTTATCATCATCTCTTTGCTTCTTGGGCTCTCTCTCCCTGCTCCGGTCTCTGTCCCTGTCCTTCCTGTCTCTGTCCTTCCTGTCCCTCCCTCTGCTCCGCTCCTCTCTGGAGTCCCTGTCTCTCTCACCGTCGCCCCAAGCCCACGAGCGCTCCCTCTCCCCCCAGCGCTTGTCTCTGCTCCTCTCGTGGTCCCGGTCCCTCGTTCTCCAGTCCCTCGTTCCCTCACGATTCCAGTTCCTTTTCTCCGATGATCCTTCTCCATAGAAATCGTTTTTCACGTTCGGCAGATTGATGGGCTTTCGGAAAGGTCTGTCCCGTCCTCCGAACCGCAGCTGCCCGGATTCCTTTTTGCCTCCAAAGCCACCTCCGAGCCTGCGGGGGATCCATCCTTTGAGAGTCCTTTCCAGCTCAAAGTCTACAAAGATCTCGTGCTGGTCGATGACGAGCCTGTTGGCGTCCCTGTGGGCCTTCAGGAGAGCGCGCTCCTCCTTGTACTCAACGAAGGCGTAACCCTTGGAAAAGCCCGTGACCAGGTCCCGAACCAGACGGATCTTCCTGATGTCTCCGTATCGGGAAAAGACCTCCTTTAGCTTCTCTTCCGTGGTCTGAAGGTTGAGCCTCGCCACGAAGAGGGTGAGGTGAGGATCTCCCGTGACTCCCTTGTTGGGCACGTACCGCGCCAGCATGGCCCGCCAGATGGCCCGGTCGTGGGGCTCCTCATCGGTGCCGTCGATGCTGCCGGCCTTGAGCGGGTCGTACTCCTTGGCTATGGGGGCCCAGTCAGCCATGGCCTGCGGGGGCAAACACAAATCGTCCGTGCTCACAGGAGCAGGCACAGGCTGTGCGAGGAGCGCTCCCAGCCCCGATGTGCTGTGCCTTCATTCACAAAACCCACAGTGAGACAAACGTTACTGAAGCGGCCGCGTGGCTGCTGCCCGAGTGCCCCTGGCTGGGCAGGGCCGTGGCGGGGCCCGGAGCCGCCCCCGGGGAGCCCGCGGGCCCGGCCCGGCCCGTTCCAAGCCCGAGGAGGCCCCTCAGCCCCGCTCCCGCCGCCGCCTCTCCCCTCCCCTCCTGTCCCGGTTCTCCGGGCCGGGGCAGCCGCGGCCGCTCCCGCCGGGCTCCATTTCAGCCCCTTTCCCCGCTCCCGCCCGGCCGGAGCGCTCCCGTCCCCCCGGCCCAGCCCCGCTCCCGGAGGGCGCTGCGGACCCGGCTCGGTGCCGGTTGCCGGGGCTGATCGAGGGCCCCCCGTCCCTTACCGGCAGCGGCGGGCGGGCGGTGCCTCCTCAGGGGAAGGGGCAGGGCGGGAAGCGCGGCCGGGTCGCGGCCACGGGCCCGGCGGGGGCGGGAGGGGCCGCTCCGCCCGCGGCAGCGCCGCCCGGGCCGGCGGGAGGGAGGGAGGGAGCGGCGGGAATGCAGCGGGGCCGGCAGGAGGAGGAGGAGGAGGAGCTGGACGAGGAGGAGGAGGAGGATGGGGATGGCGGCCTGGAGAGCGCCCTGGAGAAGAGCCCGTTCCAGCTGACGGCCGCCGATGTGTACGACATCTCGGCCGTGGTGGGCCGGGACCTGCTGCAGCTCCGCGCCGGGCCCGAGCTCCCCGCCGCCCGCGCGCGGCTGCAGTTCAGGATCGTGCGGGTGCTGGAGATGCTGGAGGCGCTGGTGAGCGAGAGCAGCGTGGCCGAGGAGCAGCTGCGGCGGGAGCGGGACAGTCTGCGGCGGGAGCTGGAGCAGCTGCGGGCGGCGGCGGCCCCGGGCAGCGCCCCGCAGGTGGGTGCGGGTGCGGGCCCGGCCGGGGCACAGCGACACGGGCCGGACTCGCGCGGGTCGCGGAGCCCGCCCCGAACTGCACCAGAGGGGCCGGAGGATGCGCGTGGTCCCTTTTGTCGCAGCAGAACGAGTCTCACAGTGTCACTTCCCGTCTTTGGCCGTGGAGCCCTTCCCGTGGGGTGTTGCAGGTCACGGTGCTGCGCATCCCTCGCTCCCGTTTCACCGCTTTATCTCAGCGGCGTGCGGTGCCAGCAGAGCTGTTCAGGTGCTCGCAGAGTTCACCGAGTACAAACCCACCGTGTTCAGTTCTCACACAGCACCGGCCCCACAGAGGCAACTTGCCATTTGAGCAGAGGCTGGAGCTTTATTACTCTGTGCGAGGGAAACTGGGACCTTAGATTGCTTGGCCTCTCCCATCATCAGAAAAGCTGATAAAAGCAGCTTCTTGGCAAAGTAAATTGCAAACACTTTGGGACAGAGACTTTGCTTTTAGCTGTGGTCAGAGCCTGTCACAGCTGGGGCTGGAAATGCAGTCATCAAGGGAATACAAAAGTAATATGAAGAACTGTAATTAACTGCTTGAGGAAAAATCAGGATTGTGATCAACTTGTACTAGTCCTACAAATCACTCCATGGTTTTGAGAGGTTACGAGATCATGATCACCACTGTTTCTTTTCCAGGTCAGCCTTGGACCAGATAAAATGGTGATCGACCTCACAGATCCCAACCGGCCCCGGTTCACGCTCCAGGAGCTCCGAGATGTGTTGCAAGAGAGAAACCAGCTGAAAGCTCAGCTTCTGGTGGTGCAAGAGGAGCTACAGTGCTATAAGAGGTACAGCATGAAGGCAGCGAAGGACTAATAACTACTAATAACAATTAATTACTTCTTGTCTGGGGAGCTGATCAGATGAGAGCGTGGCACGTTCGGGCCAGGCACTGCCCAGGCCTGTAAGGGACACCTGTGCTCCCAAAAGCATTCGAAGGAAAACAGGGAAACAATGAAGTCTCTGCAACATAATTTTAAAACTGAACTCCCTTTTGCTCTGCACAGTTCTCAGAGTTCCTCAGAGTTCCTAGAGCACAGTTACTCCCACTCCCCAGCCCGTGGGTTCCTGTGCAGTTGCACACACGCAGCGTCCAAAACCACCCCACACCCCAAAGAGCACGGGGCTTTCCCAGCTCAGCCTGAGGCAAAGTTTCCTTCCTGCTGCAGTGTGGGGACACTGCCTGCTCTCCAGTCCTGCACTCCCACGGGTATGGACTGCTCTAGGGACAGCACATTGAGCTCTTTCATCATTCAGGAGAAGCTGGGGGGGTTAGGGCTGCCAGCAGAGGGTTGTGCAAGGCACTTGAACTGTGATCAACAAGCGCTTTGGGAGGAGGGTTTGGTCTTTCTCAGAGGGACCAGCCTGGGAGAACCGGTGTGAGCCAAGGGTGGGATGAGGGAAGGGCCTTACTCTTGGTGCTACAAATTCATTCACCCCCAGGGCTGCTCTCCCCAGCCCTTCTGCCCCTCCTCAGGTTAGGTTATAAACGCTTTGGAGCAAGAAACTACTTCTTAATCTAGACACAAAATAAGCACACCAGATTTCAGTTGAGATATCTCAGCAACAGCCTCCTGGATACAGTGAGCCTGCCCTTTGTCTCGTCTGCAACAGGCAGGTGAAGCCAAGAAGTTAAAAGTTAAATCCAAGAATTTACAAACTGCCTGACAGCACTTCCCCAGCTCAGCTGGATCCTTGCTGTGCAGCCAGTGAAATGGCTTCTTGCTTTGATTTCCCAGCTGTTCCCCAGCTTAGTACAGGCCAAGTTAAAAATTACCAGTGGGGATGTTTTCAGGTTTGGAGTGGTTGCAGTCACAGTGCTGTGCACTGAGTGTGTCAGGGCTGCTTTTCAGTTCAAGTAATTCATGAGGTTATCTCCTTGTAGAGTGCTACAGCTTAAGCCAAAATCCATCTTCCCTTTAAACAGTCACATCAAATTCTAATTGTAATTGCACAGCCACAAAGAGGAGCTGTGCAGGGGAAGGGGATAAATATATGGTCTAAAATGCCTGGTGTATATTGGAAATGAGCTCAATTTAGCACAAGGTACCAAACAGCCACCCAAGGACTGGCTGCTGGTGTTTGGGGAGTGCAGTTTTCATGGTGATCTCTGGGTAGAAGTTGTGCAGATGTTACAGCTCTGCAGTGTCCCCAGACAGCTCCCAGTCCTGTTTCTCCAAGAGGAGAATGTGCCTCAGCATTACCCCAGTCCTGGTGTCACAGCAGTTTCGGGATGCTCTGTGTTGGTGTTTCCAAACCCAGCGAGGGTTGTTTGGCTGCTCCCAGCCCTGCAGGCACAGGTTTGATCCACTCACTCCCAGCAGATGAGGTCAGCTCAGGACAGTGACTGGCAGGCTGGGAAAACACTGAGTGTGCAGGCTGAGAAAGTCCAACCTGGTTCCAAGCAAGGAAAACTCCTTTGGTAAAGCTAAAGTAGGAGGTTACAACTTGTGGAGTGCAGGAACAGCCAAGTGGGATCACAGAATTGAGAGCTGAGGCAAAGCCTTTCTTCTCTCCTCTGTAGGGTGGAAAGAGGAACAGGCACCTGCCCTGCAGGGAGCTGGGAATATCCCATGTGTTCCCAGCCTCGGTGGCTGCACTGAAGGTACCACAGATCCACCCCTGCAGGAATTCACCTTGTGTGTCTGCACCCTCCTCTTATCCCTGGACCTCTCTACACATCCAACCTGTAATTCCACATCCAACCTGTAATTCCGCATCCCTTTCACCCCCATCAGGATTTGCCATTTTTCTCCTGTGGAGAAGTCAGCTTGTTACTTCAGTGTTCCCACTAAAGCACAGCCCCACTGCAATCCTTAGAGATAACAATTCCTTATTTTCCACTCATTACGAGGAAGAGGCCGGGCTGCCACCCCTGGCCTGTGAACTCCCATTCATCCATGTCCCAGCATCCAGGGGTTAACATGAACACACTGTCACTGTGCACAAACCCAGGAAAAATAAACCACCCCCTTTCTTTTCCCAGTGGAATCATCTCCCAGAGAAAGGACCAAACTGAAGAACTGGAAAAAGAAAGCAGTGGCAGCAGCGCCGGCACCAGCAAGGACAGGGGGGAGAAGACAATCATCAAACGGCTGTAAGTTTGTCTGCAGCTTTTTGGGCACAAGCTGGGAGAACGTGGAACCCTCACCCACAGGGAATGCAGGGATGGATGCTGAACTCTAGCCTAGTTGGCTGGAGATTGTTTTCTCCTGCTCCCCCTGTAATGTTACAAACCCGATAAGGAAATCTTTTCCTGTGGAAAAAGCACTCCACAGGAAGGCAACCTCCACCCAGGCGAGCAGGGAGTCACTTCTTTTTAGGAAAAACAAGTGTTTCAGAGCAAAGCAATGCACTGTTTGCCTCCCCTGCCAGCACCTCAGCCTGTGCTGTGGGAACACACTGGCCCTGCAGGTTTGTTTTCACTCTACACAGCACCCACGAGCTCAGGCCCTGGCCCTGAAGTTCCCCAAAATAGCAGAGCACGGTGACACAGCCCCCTCCCAGCATTCCCAGCTGCCTGTCCACTTGGACATCACTGTTTCCTTTCTGTTGTTGGCTTTTTTTTTTAGGTTTTCTTTTAAACACGGAAAATGAGCATCCTCAAGGACTCCTGCTGAGCACGGCCCTGATGAGGGAGGAGACAAGGGCTGGGAGAAGCAGCACCACTCCCACTGCAGAGAAGGAGCAATCTCATCAAAACTGTGTTGTATAATAATCCTTCAGGATAGTTTTTACTCTGCTTTCTCAGAAACTGTTGAAAACAGACACTTTTTGTATTTCTTAGATTCCTGTCAGACATTTCCCACACGTAGAAAATAAACCTTTATACACAGGTGGGGTTTATTCTTATTAAAAGAGCCTGTGATGATCGGTACAATAACACATTTCCCCTGTCCAGCTATCCAAGCACTCAGCCCAAGTGATTCTGCAAGATGAAGGTGATGTTTAAGAGGCAATCCCAAGTGGCTGGTTGGGGTTGAGATGAAGGAGAGTGGAGAGGAGAGCACAGCAAGGGAAGGAGAGCTGCTCTGCCCACAGGAAGGATGGAGGTGCAGGAATGCTCAGGCTGGAACAGATGCAACACCTAATTTCTGACAGCTGAAGGGCTCCTGGGGAAGGCAGCTGAGTTTTGCACGAGCTCTGTTCTTCCCATCAGCTGCCACAAGCTGGGTGTTGGCCCCAGGAATGAGATTTAGCACCAGTGGAAAGATTTAGGGCAAAGGAGTGGGAAAGCTTGAAAGACTCCAATTAGAGTCCCCATTTAGAAAGGGAGAATATCCAGAGCAGAAAAGCCTGAGCAGACATAAAAGGAGCAGTGACAGGGATCAAACTCTGATCTTCCTCTCTTCAGAAGTCTCTGAAGTTTTTTGATTCCCTCTCACACACTTGGCAGCACGAGCAATATAGGCCACTTCCCACAGCTGCTGGGCTGCAGTGGGAGGGTGGCTGAGCAGAAGGCAGAGCTGCAGCCTCCCCTCACAGTCCCAGGGCATGAGGAGGCACCAGAGAAGGAAGTTACTGCATTGCCTGAGCACAGGCTCTGTGATTGAAACTAAAGAAAGAATCACAAATTAACACACCTCTGAGGTGAAAAGAGATGTGCTCTGAACTCCATCCTCCTGGGGTTTATCCAGGAATGTATTTTCCAGTCTCCTTTAGAAAGAGCAGTTTAGCTCCCAACCCAAGGACACCTTTTCCCTGAGAAGTGCTTTACACCATATTAGAAGATGAAACCTTCCTAACAGGGACAGAGACAAACATCCAAGTGGCAGTTTCTGTGAGAAATACACTGATACCTCAGCTCCTAGGAAAGTCAAGGATACACATGCAGTGCAACATCAGCTTTATTTCCATCTGACCCAGTGCTACTCCATGACCAGTTAAGCCTTTCAGAGAAAACAACTTTGTTTTTACGTAAAACAGGGAGATCTTTCCCCTTTTTGTTTACACAAGTGATGCTGAAGAACAGAGGTTTTAAGCTATTCCACCTGATAAAGGACAAGTAAATGTTTAAATAAAATAACCCCCAAAGAATAATTTGACTCTAATCTTAAGGGAAGTGCTCTAGTTGAAGGGGATACTGTACACACTGCTGAGGTCTCTGCTACTGAGACCAGAGGAAAAAATCCCTGCCAACTCAGCTGAGTTGGCCTTATCTTACCTGCAGCTCAGCACAGGGAAGGTAACAGGTCTCCAGTTACTTCTTCAGAAATGTGAACACACCCAGGCTGGCTCTGCCGAGTTTGCCTTGTGTTAAGCAGTAAATATCAAGCATTTCATCATAGCTAATGATTTTCACAGCTTGCTTTCCAATGCTCATCAACTGCAATGGAGACAGGTAGTATAGCAGCCACTTCATCAATAATAAATATATTCTTTATTTTACACAGACATTGTCTTCAAGTTTTTAATTTAAAAAATACATCACCAAGCCACCTCTCTTGCTGCTGGAGCACACAACCAGGATGTTGTTGCTATCTGACCTATCACATAGGCAAGCACAAGATTGTCCTAGAGGGCATTCAGCTGGAACAGCAGCAGCCTTCAAGACATGAGGAACAGGAGACATTAACAGAGCCACAGATTCCTTGCTGACATCTTCCAGCAGCAAGCGTGGCCGATGGCTCACAGCCATTTTTCATCTACACACGTGCCAAGCCTGCCTTGGCAAAAATTCCAACTGGTAAGAAATCATCTTTAACATAAAGGACCTGCATTGTATTGCCTGCCTATATCCCAGATTCTCCAACAGGAACATTCCAAACAGCCATGAGATGCCAAGTGCTTGACTCCCATGTAACCCAGTGGGACCAGACCACGCTGGACAGACCTACAGGACCAGGCAATAAGGAATCTGCTTTCTTCACTGCACGAGCTCCATTGTTACACTCTGAAGCTGCACGTGAAGAGGACTCCTATTTTTGGAACCGCTATGCTCTACTTCAAGCATTCACAGTAAATAAATAGCTTCTGATGTGGCTAACTAGCATAGGAAGGTAATATAAAAATTTTTGGAGAGAGCTTTTACTTCTTTAAAATCCTCTGGGAGACACCTCCAACAATCAGCCATCGATATAAAAAGATACCTTCTTAAATTTTAGAAAATAAGTAACGTCAAACATTGATTCTCACCGTGAAGCTCCACCTTCACATTTGTACTCAGCATCCACCCAGTCTATCACAATCCATCCTCGTTTGGCTGGGAGTCATTTCTCCAAAGCAAGCAGCCAATCTGACCATCCTTTTTTTCCCCCCCTCAGTGCCAGTGCATTTAAAGTTCATTGCCAACAGATTATACGACACCGGAAAAACTGGATTCCTACCCCAAATTACTGGAGAGTGACAGGAGCATCCATGTCAGGGAAGCCTGCCAGCACTGGGCTGGGGACAGCAGCGTGACAGGCAGTCAGGCCATGAGCAGAGCACAGAAGCACCTCTGCTGTCAGAGCTATCGGCCGGTTCATCGCCCCAAAGCGGAGCGTGAGAGTTCCTCGCGAAAGCAGCCGCACAACCCCCGAGATCTGAAGTTTCTGTGCGAGTCTCTGACTGCTCAAGTGGCACTGGTCACTGTGTGAAGCATTCAGATTTTAGGGAGGGTTTCCTTTTGCGATGATACAAAAGTTTTGGCAATCTAAGATCGATTCCTGAAGCCTGCCTGGGAAAGTGTAAGAGGTGTTTAAACACTGCAAAGCAAAAAGGAGCTCGCTAGACCAGGAGCAGTCCATAAGAAAGCTGAGGGGAGCGAGGGCAGGAGAAGGAAATCCAGACTCCCTGGAGAACACTCAGTCCAGGAAAAAAAAAAACCAAACCAAAGCAAAGAAGATGAATTAGTGTTTCAGCCATGGATGAGCTTCAATGGAAGCTTTGCTCCTGTCTCCATAGTCGTACAAGAGCTCTTCCCCTGCTTTAATGTCCCTGGAAGCGATGAGGATGAGATGAGGAACACCATCGATGTCATGGAGCTTGGTCTGGCAGTTGCCACATTTGCTGTGATTAATGAGCCTTCCCAGGCGATTCGTTTCCTTTGTAGCATCGACACTGAAAGGACAAGAACGGTTTTTGTGGAGCAAAACCCGAGTGCAAACAGGATGGAGAATGAGGAATCCACACAAGGCTTGGAAAACGAAGGAGAAGCAGAACATTACAGACCAATAAATATGGGAAAGCAAGGAAACTAAAACAATCTGGGAGATTTTTAATTTAGCCCAAGACTGAAAACTTCAGACTGTTTGAGCTCCTTTTTTTCAGATGTAGGACACCACCAGAAAGGCTGGATACTTTAAATATCCTCCCCTCAGGAAAGCTGTGTCCAGGCTAAGCCTATTTACTGAGTAAAGCAGCAAAAGTAAATCAGCAAAAGGAAGGCTGAGAATGCCTAAATACTACGTGCCCAAATTCCAGAGACCTGGCTACTCCAGCTCTAGTGCCCCTCATTGCACAAGGGAGTGTTATGGCACTAACAAGGCACTTGGAACACAGGGCACTTCAAGATAATTAACAGGCACACAGGTGGTTAAGTGACCCACACTCCAGTATCCACAGCAGGATCAGCCAAGGAGGAAAGAAGGTAGGCAGAGTAATTAGAGACATGGAGGCAATTAAATTTGAGGCAAATAAACCAGTAAATATGATAAAGCATGGAGCTGGGGGGGCGTCATGTGCTGGGGGAACAAGGACACCCAGCCAGAGACACCTGAAGGAAATGTTTCTCTTCCAGAGAGTTTGTCCATCGGGCTTTTCAAACCGAATCCTTGCAACTCAGAAAAAGGAGTTGAGTTTTAGAAGAGAGAAAGCAGGGCTGGAAGTCTCATCCAAGCAGATTCAGCTCTCCATGTGCTCGTGCTGCACTCCAGGGAACAGCGCTCTGAGTCACCCACCAGCCCAGACGGGGAGGGCGCTCTCGGACCGCGGATCAGAGCTCCGAAAGATTCCTAATTCCCGGTTCCCATTAAAAACACAAAACTGGCATGAAACGAGAAAAGGTTTAGCAGCATCCAAAGCTCCTGGGAGCTTGAGGGAAGAGGAGCTTACCAGTAGGTTTTGCTGAGGTACTGGAAATAGTACATGTAGCAGCCCGTGGATGGATCCTGAGCGTACACAGCCTCCCGTTTCTTGGCGTCCGTGATCTCCAGGAGGTCCCCGTGATATTCCACCACAAACTCCCCACGAGTGAAATGTTTCGTAGCAATGACTCCCCTGCCCTTGCCATCGATGTAATCGATCTGCAGGGTCGAAAAGCAAATCAGCTGGGAAATTCAAAGGTATTTACGTGACTGCACATAGGTTGATTACTGGGAAATGAGTGATTTGTCACTAGAAAATGCTGTCAAAGGGAATTTGTGTGAACCGCAGACAAAGCTGTAGCAGCTGCCTGGCACTGTGGAAGAAACACAGGATGAGTATGGGATACACCCAGGCTGCCAGGTAGTGTGACACAAAGGCTTCTAACCAGAGAAATAAGAGTTTCTTTAAATAAACCCTAACTCTTCTCTGGGTGTCTGTTTTTTCATTTAAACTCCCAGCGAGCCTTTCCACTTCAGGTGGATGTCAGCACACACAGGTTAGAAAGGTAAAGGAACAGTAAGAGTGATTACAAAAATTTCATTTATCACCCACCAGTACATTTCAGTATTCCTGCCTCGCCCTGTAAATTGGACATCTCCAAGGAAGTCCTATCACTGTCACAGATGTGACAAGCTTTATCTCCAGGCTGCTGCTTTTCAAGAGTCACAGCTCTCCTGCACTTCCAGGGGCCATTCCTGCTTTAAATTCTAAAAGGGCTGATCAGAACAACCCAAGTGTAAGCTCTTGGTCTCCTTAACTGGACAGCAGTGGGAGGAAAACCAGTACAAGCCATCACACCAAGAGCCAGACAAACCCCACAGCAATGGGCTGGACAGACTAAGAGCAGTTGTTGGCTGGCACTGCACTCACCTTCATTCCTTCTTCTTTCCCACTTGTAATCAGCTCATCTATTTTCCTCCTCTCCTCAGTCTGTAGAAGAAACAAGAACAAACAAAACCACAACTTCTGTAGTGTGTTCTAGAGCTGAAAGGCATCACCAGCCAGTGACACTCATTGTCCCAGACCATCCCATATTTCCAGCACAACTGAATGGCAGAGACACAGATTTCTATTCAAACAGCTGCATTCTGTCCTAGAGCTGGACCAGCATTTCCAAATTTTAAGCATGTTCTTAACAATACTTCCAGTGCAGAGTGTTATTTGTATTTGGAATGGAAACCATTTACAGATATTTACACACTTCCTCAAATCTTCAACTAACCAGCCACATTAGAAGTCGTGTCATTTAAACAAGAGGCCCTACCTCCAATTCAGATTTGCTCTTCCTGGAACTTCTCCTGACTGGGTAATAATCTGTCACTTTTCGGTTTGGTGGCCTTCCTTGCGTTCTAAGGGGTGAGAAAGAGAGAGAACACACACGCTTTTCAGACTATTTGTGAAGTCACACCTCTAGGACAGAGGTGTGTGCAAGAAATTTGTATTTTCAGCTTGGTATGCTGAGGGGTGACCAAGATGAATCAGTGGTTGTTATCGGTACTCTTCAAGCCAAAGCTACATCCCATTTTTCCCCCCACACTATTTCCACTGCTCCAACACTAACAACAACAAAAATGAGATGCCATTGGAAATCAGCTGAAGGTCACATCACAAGTCTGGAGCTCCCTGTGTGCCTTGCCAGAAGGCACCCGAAAATGTAGGTCATGAAAACTGCTTGGCAAGGAATTCATTAATGTCAGGTCACACTGCTCTGATGCCACGAGAAAGAGGATCAGCTCAGCCAGGAAGCCTCCAACTGCTCTGTTTCTGACAAGATACATCCCCATTTGTCCACAGAAAAGTAAGGCTTAACGGCTCATTAATTTCTTTTTCCACGGCTGATCAGCAAGTATTTCACTGCTGATAAAATACCCTGACCTTGCTTTCACCAGAACCAAGTTCTCTGCAAGGCAGATCAATACTTGGATGCAATTCTGGGGGGGGGGTTAAATCCAATATTCCCGAGAAAACCAGGTGCTCTCCTTTTACAATTCCACAACTCACTCACTTTTTCCTTGGTCCACGTTTTGCTTTCACCATCTTTTTCTGAGCTGGCTTTGTCTTGGCCTCCTCAGCACAGTCTGCAGGCAGGGGGGGCTTCTGAGCTTCTGGGCTTTCTTGCTTTTGATCAGAGGGCGCTGAAGGATTGCAGCCACCTTCCTTCTCCTTCTGCTCTTCTGCTTTCACAGCACCTTCAACTGTTTTGCCACCATTCTTTTTTCCTGCTGACAGGCAAACAAAGGAAGGCTCTGAGCTCAGGGCCAGCTACACCAGAGAGCTGTCAGTGAATTCCAGGGGTTTGGAGTTCTGCTCCTCCTCTGACATCACCT